GTAGCCATCGAAAACGTGCTATTTTCTAAACAATGTTTATTATACTGATTAGATTGGTAAACATTACTTGAATGTAAAGTTTCTTTAGCATTGAATAAAATTTGAATATTTTTTAATTTTATAATACAAAACTGTAATATATTTTTTTTATTTTTATATTAAAAATATATATTATTTTTTTTATTTTAAGGGATTATATACTATATTATATATTATTATATATTATATATTATTTTTTTTATTTTAAGGGAATTTTATTGTTTCCTTTCATTAATTTTGAAAGTGGCTCGAGTCCATTTGTAGTCATCGGAAACGTGCTATTTTCTAAACAATGTTTATTATACTGATTGCATTGGTAAATATAATAAATGGACTTTGAAATATATATATATTTTTCATGAGAAACAAAAGTTTCATTAGACGATATGCTGTCCATTTTGTTCGTCTTTCCAGACGACTTCACAATTTCCCGTTAAAAAAGATTCTTACATATTTATTTAACAAATAAAAAACAGTTCCAAGGACGATGAGATTTAGCAAACTAAATTTGCCGACAGAGTTTTCCGTACACGTTTTTTTTTCTTCGTTTCGAAGACAGTACAGCAAAATGTGATGGATTTTCTTCTTCTTCTAGCAACAAGCTTGAACAATTCAGATTACACAACGAAGTTGCGGTTTAAAATGACGTCAGTGAGATTTCAAGATCTACGTATTGGCCAATCGAAATAATTTCCCTACATCCTCGCACAAATTTCGCGAAGCTCGAATCATCGAAGGCGGGCAGATTCACCTGTCCAATTAAACAACCGGCATGGTTGTCTCTTTAATGAGACAGTCGCGCCGCGAATCTTTTCTTTTCTTCTTTTTTTTTTCTTTTTCCTTTTCCCTCTCTATGGCAGCGAAGTGTCAGGTGTAATTATGGTGGAAGAAATTGTCTTCTTAATCGTGAGCGGGTCTCCACGGCCTCGCAGTATGATCGACAAAGCCTCGTGCCGGTCTCGCGGCGCTGGCTCCGTTAATTGCGTTTCGTTTGTCGCGCTTAAAGGACACGTTTCTTCCTCCTCTTATTTTTTACCGAGCTAATTACGCTTGACTAAACGATCGTCCATTTGGGAGGGGTCGCGCCACCGAATGACTAAACAGAAGGACGCAGGATCCACCGTGGATCACCACGATCGAGATTGCGATTCGTCCGCACGCGGGACGACGATCCAGGATGGCGGTTTCCTCCGATGGAAAAATCAATTTCCGCGATATGTTGCCGTACCAACGTGTCCTTGCATTTATTGGAAAAACTGACTTGCGAGATCTTTTCCTTTCTTTTGGATATTATTTGAGATTTTTACGATATATACTACAAATTGCGTGATTTGTCGTAGTATTCACAAGACAATAATGTTCAAAGGAAACTTCTCTGTTTCTTCGTCTTTTAACTAAGGACGTCATAATATGTTGTATTGCAAGTAATAATATTCGTGAGATTTATTGGAAAAACTGACTGTCCTTTTATCTTCTCACCTTGCGAGATCTTTTCCTTTCTTTTGGATATTATTTGAGATTTTTGCGATATATACTACAAATTGCGTGATTTGAACGATACTATTCACAAGACAATAATGTTCAAAGGAAACTTCTCTGTTTCTTCGTCTTTTAACTAAGGACGTCATAATATGTTGTATTGCAAGTAATAATATTCGTGAGATTTATTGAAAAACTGACTATCCTTTTATCTTCTCATCCTTTCGTTTTATAAGATCTTTTTTTTTTCTTTTTTTGATATTATTTTTGTGATTGATAGTACAAATTGCACATTACAATGTGTCGTGGTATGAACGACAGTATTCATAAGATTGTGAGATCAATAATATTCAGTGAAAACTTGTCTGTTTCTCTATATTTTAACTCGGACGTTATTTATGTGATAGGTATAACATGTTGTATTATGAATAATAATATTCGCGAGGTTCTTCTAGCGTGAGACTTGATGGAAAATTCTCTTTCAGTCTTTTCATCTTGAAATATTATTTATGATAGACGTTATAACATATCGTATTATAAATAACAACATTTTAAAAATTCTTCTTGTGTGGAACAATGAGGCTTGATGGAAAATTTCTGTCTTTTCATCTCACAGGATGTATTTCCATTTTCAATATTATTTATGATGTTTATGGGTAGATATTACAGATTCTTCCTGCGTGGAACAATGAGGTCAGATGTCTGAGGGAAATTGTCTTTCTAAGATGCACCTCCACTTTGAATATTATTTATAATTTCTGTGATAGATATTACAAGTTCTACGAAGCCTTTTAACGCAAGCAATAAAGTTCGTGAAATTCTTCTTGCGTGGAGAAATGAGACTTCATGGGAAAAATTACGCCCCTCTCGCTATATTTTTTCGTCTTGTACAATGTTAAAAAATTATGCGCTGTGTCGTTCGTTTGTTCGACAAATTTCCACGCGATAAACACCTAAAACCTAAAACCTAACCTAAAACTTAACCTAAAACTTAACCTAAAACCTAACTTATTTTTTTTTCTTTTTTTTTACGTGGAAGAAATCTTCATAAGACACCTGAGTCTTTTAAGGGAAGACCCAGGTAGTGTCG